TTTTTTTTTATTTTATTTTTTTTTATGATGAAGTCAAGTAGCTTCGAAAGAGATGGGTTTTCAGCTGTCGCTTGAAAATTGTCAGGGATTCAGCATTCCGGATAGGGGTGGGAAGTGCATTGGATTTCAAAGTATACAGTTTATCAGTTCATGCATTTCCCGGGAATCGAACCCATGGTGTCAGAGTTGCTGTTTGACCTACAGGAACGTAAACACAATGCACACATTCTGTGGATCAGTCCTATGATACAGATGAACATGTGTTTGCAGGGTGAACGGGAAGCTGGTTGCGTTGAAAGTGATTCGTCTGCAGGAGGAGGAGGGAACACCGTTCACTGCGATCAGAGAGGGTGAGTCGACCCGTCTCTCCATCTCTGCACGCTTGTTTTAATAGGTGTGTTTTACTGTGGCCTTAATATAACAGAGAAACTAAAGCTGAAGGCAGAACGCGAGTGGAATGAGAGAGAAACGTCGAATCGCTCTGTGCACACACCTAGTGAGCTGACTACATAGACTAAATCGAAGGATACATTGCATGTGTTTCTTACAGAGAATGATTTTCAGTGGGAGAACAGATCATAAACAACATGCTGCTCATATGAAACTGTGTTGAGCAAACGAAAGATCGACCTGCTCGTGTTGAACTTTAAAGGTCCCCTGAAATGCTTAGAAACACGTAGCGTTACTACCGATTTCAGCCGCGGCTTCAGCGTCTATTTTATAGTGTAGGGGGCGGGGCTTCGGATTCTAGAGAGCATTTGATTGGACAGAAAGTTTGATGAGAAGCTGAAGTACGATGTGACGTCAAAAAAATCATTGAGCCGTTTTGGCGGAAGTGACGAACTGCAAGCTTTGAATGCTTATATCTTCTAAATGCGAATTTTGTCACTGTTTTGGAGCACACTGCCTTATAGATAACCTTAAGACTAACATATCGATACTAACACCTAAAAAACTTTCATTTTGATTTCATGGGGACTTTAAGGCAGCGTTTCTAGAAGAGCGTACAGCAGGCTTTCATAAAGCCGTGTAAATAATCAGTTAAAAAAAGTCAAATAAAATGCAACGTTTCGAATAAAAAAGTTTCTGAGCTGACGAGAAAATGAGAAAAGAGCTGAAGCTAGTCATTGCTCAGTGAGTTATCGACAGTCAGTGTGAAGTTCATTTTCATATTTTTCATATCTTTTTATTTTTAATAATTTTAACTGACGTGACTTTTGATCAAATCCATTAATGATACTGGTTATTATTATCATTATTATTTTTTATATCATGTCGTTCTGTCCCTGTATGACTTTCTGTCTTGCTTTTTTCTGAAACATAAATATCCAAGCTTCAGTTTTCCAAATACTGCAGGTGCACGGTGACTTATACTGTCAAGTATTTTAATTTAATTTAATTTAATTTAATTTAATTTAATTTAATTTAATTTAATTTAATTTTTATTTTATTTTATTTCATTTCAGTTAACTTTTATATTATTTCAAGAAACAAACATGTACTAAAAGTGTTTCTCAAAGGCAAAGCAGGATACCCAGGGCTCGGTTTACACCTATCGCCATTTCTAGCCACTGGGGGACCATAGGCAGGCTAGGGGAACTCATATTAATGTTAAAAAACCTCATAAAGTGACATTTTCATGCCATGGGACCTTTAATGAATTAAATAATAATTAAGAAAGAAATTAACAAATAAATGTTATTATTATTTTATTTTATTTACATTTTTTGTTTGAATTACTTTATTTTATTAAAATAATAAATAATAATTGTTAACAAATAAATTATTAATGTTATAAATTATTAATAAATAAAATATTACAATAATTATTTTACTTAATACTTTATTGCATTTTATTTTACTTTAGTTTACTGTACATTTTTGAGAGTTTACATTTTATTTTAATTTGTTTCTTTAATATTATTTATAATGTTTGTTTATTATTATTATTATTATTGCTCCGCGAGGGATTGACAGTCAGCAGGAAGTTGATCAAATCCATTAATGATGCTTACACATGTTGGTGTGTCACTTCCTGTAGGATGATGTCATTCAGGAACTGGCTTTTGTTAGTTAAAGTGATTTTACGAAAGACTAACAGGATGGAAAGTGAAGCTTTTCTTTTGCCCTTGAAAAATTAATCACATTTTCCACATTCTCGCGAATCTGTTTACTATTCATCACGAAACGCACTTGAAGTGTTTTGCTCCGTCTTTGTAGTAAATTAAGTGTTTTTCTGCTCAAAAGAGATGAGATTTCTGTGTTGTACAGTTCAATTGCATAGTTGTAATGCAGAGAAAAACACGTCAGACACATTATAAATTGACGATTAGCTTTAATTGCATTGTTTCTCCCGAATGCCAAATACAGGCGTTTGGAGATTCTCATAAGAGCCATTCTGTCCTCATCAGCCTGTTTATTTACTGTCGGTCTTTAAACATTCTTGTTTCTTTATTTATTGCTCTTTCATTTGAAGCTTGGCCTTTGACACATTTGATATGTTATGAGACTTTATGGTGCTTGACAGCCGCAGCTTCTTTTCCCTTTTGCTGTGTGGAAAACAGCAGCATTAGAGTTATTTATGGAAGATGA